CGTCATCAGGCCCTCTTTGATCCCGTACTTCTCGTGGTGGATCTTGGCGAGCGGCGCGAGGCAGTTGGTCGTGCACGAGGCGTTGGACAGAATGTTGATTTCCTTCTTGTACGACTTGTGGTTGACGCCCATGACAAACATCGGCGCGTCCGCCGACGGCGCCGAGATGATCACCTTCTTGGCGCCGCCCGTCAGGTGCGCCGACGCCTTATCGATCACGGTGAAGATGCCGGTCGACTCGCAGACGATGTCGGCGCCCGCCGCGCCCCACGGCACCTCCGCGGGGTTTTTGACGGCGTAAAACTTGATTGTTGCTTTGCCGGCGATCAGCGTCGAAGAGGCCTCGTCATAGGAGACGTCCTCAGAGAAGATGCCGTGCGTCGAGTCGTACTTGAAGAGGTACGCCGCCTGCGCGCGGGGCGTGCGCGGCGTGACTTCCTGCCCTGGCAGGCGGGCGCGGCGCGGCGCGGCGCGGCACTCTGCGGGAGGCGCGCACGTATTTGACGTCGCAAAACGGGTCGTTCACCGCGACCACTTCGGCGCCATCCTTCAAGACCGCGGCGCGGCAGACGAGGCGGCCGATGCGGCCAAAGCCGGAGATGCCCATCTTCACCATGGCTGCTGTGGGTGTTTGTGGTTGTCGGAGGCCTGCGGGGGCGCGGGGCGCGGGGCGTGGGCGCTGGGCGCGCAGGCGCGGCGCGCGCGGCGCAGGAAGGCCGAGGCGCGCAGGGCTAGCCTAGCGACGGGACACAGCGTACTACCGAGAGCGAATCGCAAGTCGGCGGTCTTCGCCGAAGAAGACGCGCTGCGAGGGGGTGGACGGCCACACCTTGATGGCACCTGCACCCTCCACCCGGTCGGGCAGGGGCACACACTCTCACCTCTCTAGCCCAGGGTGTTGTCACTGGTTCGAAACCCCACCTTAGCGTTCACCTGCTATATCCGCCGGTCAGACTACCCAAAAACTGACACACAAAAAAAAAACTGGATGCATCGGTCTCCGCACGACCCACACGAGCCGAGAGAGAAAGTCCGAGAGAGAGAGAGGCGAGCACGGAGCAGGCGGCCACCCAGGCGAGATCGCACGGCAAGCTCACTTTTGCAGGTCGTGAATGCAGTGTGTTTTGCGACGCGAGTGTGTATCATTCACCAATGTACGGCTTGTCATGGGGGCCACCGTTGCTATCCACGGTGTATCATTCACCATTATGCCACCGTTGCTATCCGGATAGCAACGGTGGCATAGTCCATAGAGGGATAGCAACAGCAGCCAAAAGGACGTCCGGTCCGCCGGCCACGCGCGCGCGAACACAGCGCAAAAATGTGTTCATTCAGTTGAGCCAATGGTTTGTAAGGCTGATACCCCTTTGCCCTTTCCGTTCGCGTCCGGTAGTGCGCCGATCATATTTCATGTTGGGACTGGTGAAAGCCTGCTGCCAGCTCAGCGTATCCCTCTTGATCCTCCTCCTCCAACTTTGCAGCTTCCCTCTTTGCATCGGCGACTGGGTTTGGTTGCGAGAGTGACCGGCACGCAAAACTGGTGTAGAAGCACCAGCGGCCGTCGAGGGCGAATCCGGGCAGGTCTGGCCTGAAGCGCTGCGGTGAGAGACCGAGTAGGTCTTGCATCGTCGGATCAAAATTCTCCAATGTCGAGAAGATGATCTTTGCGCCGCGCGCTGCGAGAAGCTTGATTGTCGCCGCGTAGCACTCGAGCGTGCGGTTGTTGATGGCCGGTGGGTCAGCGACGATGAAGTCGAACTGGCCGTGGAGCTGCTCTGCTATCTCGGTGGGCCGATAGCAGTCGTAGAAGACGAATCCGGGATCCGACTCCCATCTCCGATCAAACTCAAAGTTGACAAGCCCGAACGTGTCTCTCCAGCGCGCGGCCTCGTCGTGAAAGTAGAGCGAGGGGCAGGACAGGCACGCAACTTTGGCTGGTGCGGCCTCGATGATCGCGGCTTTCAGTGCGTTGAGCGTATAGTCAGAGTACCAGACCTGGATGAGGCCTGGCGTGTAAACATCGAGCCCGCCGGCGCGGACTGGACTTTCGCTCGAGGTCGACGTCATCTTCCCCTTCGATGCGATCTGGATTCGACCTTTTTAGGAAGGTATGGTGGCACCGCGCCAAAAGGGGATGCGGCCTGCTCGACGGGTGGGGGGGTATGGTCAACCGGAGCCGCCGTACCGCCCACACGCCGCGGCGGCGACGATGCCGACGCACGAGCGCCGCTTCAATACTGTCGCGGGCCTTCTCGCCGCGACGCCGGCACACAAGGCCCTGGCGGCCTTTGCGGCCACGCTCTGAGGGGTGAGCACGATTGCCGGTGGGTCACCTCGCGCAGACTGCATCGCGCGAACCCGTGCCGCACGACCGGACGGGGCACACACTCTCACCTCTCTAGACACGCCGGGTGCCATATCTCGATTCGGCTTAGCCCCCCACCACGCGCACGCACGGCTAAGCGCCAGACATCGCGGCTCAGGGAGTGAGTGAGCCCAGAGTGAGCCACAGAGAGCCAGACAGCGGTTCCAGACGGTCCCCTCTTTTCGTGCCGGTGGTGATTGGGAACGCCTGTGGTGGGCCTGGGGTGCGGGCGCGGGCCCCAGCAATCGCTCCCGTCACCCCGCCCCGCCCCCTCCCAGGTCGCGTCGTGGCTGAAACGTCCAAAGCTCGTCAGTTACAGCTTGCGGCCTCCTCTGAACCGGCCGGTGCGGGCTCGACCGCCCCGCTCCCCTGCCGAGTTCGCGCGCGCGTGCACCCCTGCGCGCGCGCGCGCCGGCACACACCCGGGATGGAGCCATCCACCAGCGCCGGCCCCGACCCGCCGGGCGTCGCGCCGAGGGGCGGCGCTCCCGCGTGCGTGGCCAGACACTGCCTGCGTCAGCGCGGCTCCCTCTCTGTCAGACAGTGCAGCGCGGCCAGGGGCCCCCGCGGCGGGCGGGCTTATTCGATCCCGCCCGCCCTGCGGCAACGGGCGATCCACAGCAAATTCTCCGCCGTGCAGGTACAATGAAGCTCGCCTGCGCCGCAGCCGCCCTATCTGTCGCCTATGGCATCGAAACAGAGCTCACCATCAAGTCCTTCAGCAACACCGACTGCACCGGCACGGAGCTGGCTTCGCAAGAGGGCGTCTTCATCCCGTACTCGATCGGCACGGGGGCGGTGCGGCGCTGCCCTCCTCACACCCCGCCCGTGCCTCCCTCGCGTCTTGGCTCAACCGCCCGCCCGATTCCCAAACAGGTCGGATGCGACGAGTCATCGCTCGCTCCAGTGTGGCACGACGCGTCAAACCCATCGAACCCGTCGCCGTATGACTCCTGCCAGCTGGGCATCCAGTACACCTGCGTCCGCGTCGAGAACCCGTGCTTTGACCGCGCAACTGCGCACGCGTGCCGCATCCTGCAGGCGAGGCCATTGACCAGGGCGTGCAGGGGTGGGACAGATACGTCATTCCACCACGCCATCCAGCCATGGCGGTGTTCGACGTGATTGTCGTGGCGTGTGCGCTCTACAACACTATTGCAATGCCCCTACTAGTCAGCTTTTTTGCTGGCCGCCGACAGTCTAGCACGGCTCTACGGTCCATCTCGTATTTAACGGATGCTGTCTTTGTCGCCGATATCCTGCTGCAGTTTTTTCACGGCTTCGTCAAGGACGGCTACCCGGTGCTCGAGCTGCGGGCCGTGGCGCAACGATATGCTACCACCTGGTTTCCGGTCGACGTGGTATCCACCCTTCCCGTGGCTTCTATCCATGTCGACGATTCGACTATGCAGCGCGCAGTGTTGACGCGGCTTCCCGTGCTGGTCAAGCTCCTGCGCACTGTCCGGCTGCGCAGGGTCACCTCGACCTGGCGCGGCCTCTCAGGCGGCAACGTGCTCAGAGTTCTGGCCGTGCTCATAACCTGGATCATTGTCTCCCACTGGATAGCTTGCGTGTGGTTTTGCATCGGTTGGCTGAGCTGCCTGTTCAATCCTAGTCACGACAGCTGGCTCACGTACTACTGGCCCGTGATGCGTACCCAGTGCGAGGGCGGCGGCCTCTCACAGCCCGAGGAGCTGGCCCAGTTTGTCCCCACGAGCACAATGTGCCTGCCGTAGGCGGACTCTGCCATGAATACGAGCAAGTAGACTGTGAACAGATCGGGTGCCGGTAGGTACGTTCGATCGCTCTACTTTGCGCTGAGTACGACGAGCTCGATGGGCTACGGCAACGGGCCGGCAGCGGTGCAAGATGTCGAGTATGTCTTCGCCGTGTGCGTGCAGCTCTTCGGCGCTTGCATCTCTGCGGTCATCTTCTCAAACATCTCAAGCGTAATCAACAAGGGCGATGCCGCAAGCATGCGCTTCTTCGAACTCACTGACCGAGTCAACGAATTCATCCGCTTCCACCACCTCCCCACCGCGCTGAAGGGGAGGCTGCGTGCGTACACGGAGATGCAGTTCTCCCTACACCGAGGCATTGACGCTGGTGGGGTGGTTACTTCGTTTCCCACGCACCTTCAAGACGACATCTACTACCACCTTCACGAGCGTCTCCTTCGTCAAGTGCCAATGTTCAACGCCGTCGAAGACGTGGGGTTCATCAGATCGCTCTCGAGGCGGCTGAAGCCACAGGTCCTCCTCGCGGGCGACTTCGCCTTCCAACGTCAAGAGGTGGGAGACCGCATGTTCTTTATCCAGAAGGGCCACGTTCAAATCTGCAACGATGACCAGAGCGTTACCTACGCCACGCTTGGTCGCGGCGGCTACTTCGGCGAGTTGGCGATGCTTACTGCGACGCGGCGTATAGCCGGGGCGAGGGCGCTGGACAACTGCATCCTGTACGTACTCACCGAGGAGGCGTTTGAGGAGGTCATGCGATACTACCCGAACCACTACGATACCATCCTCGAGCAAAGCCTCGCCGCGCTGGAGGCCACGCTGCGCTCAAACGAGGCCACGCTCGAGACCCGCATGATAAAGGCACGGCTAAAGTCTGCGCTCGTCCGAGTCATGACCGAGCGCACACAAGTCAGGCGCGGTGACAAAGGCCTCGGCGCGAACAAACGCGATGGCGCGAACGGCTTCGTCGAGACTGTGGATGCAGCAAGACGCTCCGTTCTTCCGGGGGGGCTGCACGTGGGAAGGAGGTACTCGCGTCGCGCGAGCAGCTGCGGCGCGAGCGCAAGCGGTGGCGCCGACCGTCGTCAGAGTGCGATGCCGTGGCAGGCGACACTCGGTTGCGCCGGAGGCGGGGCTCAATATGTGGCGGAGTCAGCTACGACTCGATGGAGGGGCTTGCGGAGCGTCGTCAAGATGGCGACACCTGCCGTTCCCGCGGCACGACCCGCGGCCATGCTGCAGGTGATCCGAGATGCTCAAGACGCCCGATCGCTGCGGATGAAGAGCCGCGTGCAGCTGATGCAGGAGATCGAGGCCAGCAAGGAGAGCCTCTCGCGTGTGGCCGGTGCGCGACAGCTGCTCGAGAGCGCAGCAGCCGATGGTGTGTCGATCGCTACCGTCGCACGTTCCCCTGCTGGAGAGCTACTACAAACAGGTGCCACATCGCAATCTATGGAAGCCAAGGTGACCGGCTTGATCGAGGCGGTCCAGCACTTAACTCAGCGGCTCGAACAGCATCTCTCCGTAGAACCCCGAGAGAGATTCGAGAGGGTGGGGCTGGGGGCAACTCAGGACACGACACTCGACAGGGAGGGGCGACCCCTAGTCTAGCGAGAATTTTCGGTGTATCGTGAATGATCGCCTAATATCGCCTAATGCCTGATATCGCCTAATATCGCCTAATATTGCGCAATATCGCGCAATATATCGCGCAATATATCGCGCAATATATCGCGCACCCAGCACCCTCGCGCACGCGCGCACCCTCGCGCACCCCTCGCGCACCCTCGGCCCTCGCCCCGGCGGCGGACCGCGGCCGCGGATTTCTTTGTTTTCGGCGGAGACCATCAAAAGCTGGCGGCGCAGCCGGCGCGCCTGCGGCGCGCCGTGGTTCCTAATTTTCGCGGAAACGGCCAGTGTGGTTTCTCGATCATACGTGACGCAATCGGTTTCTTTCATCTTTACACGAGGCCATGGAGGGGGAGAGGAAGAGCAAGGGCGAGAGGGGGCAGGGGAGACGGGTCGCTGGCATACTAGGGGGG